GAGACCTTGCCATAGGTTTCCAGCCTCCCCCCCCTCCCCCCCCCCAAGCAGACTGGCAGTTTTGCCAACTCTGGTTGTCTTCCCAAACACTGAGGAAGAGGGAAATACGAACTTTAAAATACAGGGACCACTTGTGTTTATTTTGAAGTTAGATTTAGCTATTTCCACCTAACTAACATAGAAAGTACAAGCTTCCTTGATTTCTTAAGGGAAAATCCTGATGTCATACCTATCAGACACGTTTTACACAATTAAGAGGTAAGGACAGTCCTCAAGCCAGGGAACACAGGCACTCAGGCCTGTTTCCCAGCTTTCCTGTGCCTAACAGGAAAAAACGTTTGACCCTTCACTCATATAGCATGGGGCCCCAGAGAAGCCAGGGGCACAAGGCAGTTACGCTGACCTGGCCGCAGGCCAAAGCCTACATCTATGCCCCTATCCTCTCCTGTGCAGGCTGCTGAGTAATTCCTACACAGTGACAGAGCTAGTCTCCCTACCCACAGGCCTGTACAGTTCCTTCCAGAATTTTCTTCACACTTTTACTATTGAAGGTGAACTTATGTGTGAAAAGTTTCACCTAGTCATACAGTATGGCTGGTGCTGGAGCCAGAATTAAAATTTGGGTGTTTTAATTTCCTAGTATCACCACTTTCCCTCTTGCTAGATTCATGTCATAGTCCTAGGGCCTGGAGTTTGTGTCTGGGTCTTTTTGGTATTTCAAGATTAGACATGGCACTCCCTGCAGCCAACAATAGGTAACCCTAGTTAACATGATGTAAACCTAGAACTAAGCCAAGAGCCTCATGTGAATTAATCCCTGCAACCATCCTACAAAGGAGGTATTACCCTTTTTTTTTTATTGATTTGAGAGGAAAAAACATTGCCTTATTCTACTTATGTATTCATTGGTTGATTACATGCCCTGATGGGGGATTGAACCCACAACCTTGGCTTATTGGGATGATACCCTAACCAACTGAGCTACCTGGCCAGGGCAGTATCACCCCATTTTACAAGTGAGGAAACCAAGCCTTGGAAGTTAATGAAAGATGTGCCTGGAGTATAAGATCTCTTGAACAAATCCGAAGTCAGCCATGAGGTTTCTGTGACCTTGGACAAAAGGAGCCTATTTCCTCAACTGCAAATGTAGTGAGTGTCTCTGGGCCTCACCCATAAGAAGAACTTTAAAGGTCATGTTTCTTACCTGGGCATCCTAGGCAGACAGAACTTGATAGGAGCCTTCTGACTACTCTTGGAGGAAGAAATGGTCAAAGAATCTCCCTAGAAATGTTTTCTTTTTAATGCCTCCCTTCCCATAGCAGGTTTCTATTGAAACTATTGTTTGGCTGTTTTGTAAAGAATATGCCACTCACACAACTGTATCCATGTCATCTAACCAGGAAGATGTACTGGTTAGGCAGTTCTGGGGAGTAAGCCAAAACCCATGCTGATAGAGTGCTTGTCTGAAACAAGACGGGCTATAGATGGTACCAGTGGAGAATGACCAACCATCCCACTAGCAAGAACAAGGACGCTCCTTGGAGAGCGAGGGATCTGTCCACATGGATCTGCAGTGCTTAGTCCTGTGTTCCGCTTACTGTGAATTTAATACTCAATGCACTTAAAGTAATTGACACAAGGTGGGGAGAGGCATGGAATGGAAAGACTTGATTCATGAAATATTTCTCTGGAGACTCATCTTTCCTCCCTTTCTAACTTTATTTGGCTCTCTTGACAAAAGCCAAAAGGCATGATATCCAAGTTGTGATCATAATGACATGACCTTCATGGCAAAAACAGAACAAACAGAAATAGGCACCCACCAGGCACAGAAAGGTCAAGAACAAGTGATGAGGAAGATAAAACTAAGGCATTGTGTAGAGCTGGGTCAGAATATGATTTAGGAGAACTGATCAAGCAAGGGCACTTGCTAACAGAAGCAGGGTGATCCTCATCTGTGTTGTGCTGGATAATTTACTTATTTATTTTTTTACAATTTCATTCAAAGGGCTGGAAAAAGAGAAGACAATTTAGAAACAGTAGTGAAAAGAAACATAATTCAAACTAGTTAACTTTACATTTAGAGGTATTTTAAAACTGGCTTGTTTTTTTCACACTTTAAAACCTTACATGAAGTTTAGTGTTTGAGCTAGGATGAGAGAAGACTAGAGATATGGTAGGGCAACATGAGGTAGCATGCAATCCCTCCATAAATGAGATCATGTACACCTGTGTAACCCAGAGCCTTTGCGTGAACCTGGCCAATCCCACAGTACACCAAGAGAAACAGAAACTTCAGGGTATCTGCAATCCCAGTATTTGTCTACACCAGGAGTGGGGAACCTTTTTTATGCCAAGGGCCATTTGGATATTTATAATATCATTTGAGGGCCATACAAAAATTATCATCTTAAAAATTAGTCTGGCCTGGCCGGCATGGCTCAGTGGTTGAGCTTTGACCTATGAACCAGGAGGTCACGATTCAATTCCCAGTAAGGGCATACATCCAGGTTGTGTGCTCAAACCCCAGTGTGGAGTGTGCTGAAAGCAGCTAGCTGATCAGTAATTCTCATCATTGATGTTTCTATCTCTCCTTCCCTCTCCTTTTCTCTCTGAAATCAATAAAAAATATTTTTAAAATATTAGCCAGCTATATTTGGTCAAACATTTAATTAACTCACTCCTAATGCCTTGCCAGGGTCAGACCAAATAATTTTTTAGGCCTTATAAGGCCTGCTGGCCTGACATTCTCCACCCCTGGCTAGACTGTCTCCTGTTTGCTGCCCTGACATGCTGTTCCTTGTTCTCATCTTATCTGGCCATCAGATCCATTGGAACCTCTAGAACAAAATGTGGCGTCCCTCTCCTGTGTCCCCAGGGACCAAGGTCTTGCCCTCCAGCACCTTCTCTAGGTTCACAAAGCAGAACAAGCCCTGGTTCAACATCCCCAGGTGAAGTAGATATCCTCACTTTCTCAGTATTGATTCCTGAAAAAAAAAATGTGTAAATCAGCCTGGGCCAGCAGTCCTAAACCTTAAAATGCATAGAGCACCTGCAGAATTTAATAAATAATACTTTGACCCTGGCCAGTTTGGCTCAGTGGATAGAGCATCCGCCTGTGGACTGAAGGGTCCCAGGTTCGATTCTGGTCAAGAGCACAAGACCAGGTTGCAGACTTGATCCCCAGTAGGAGGTGTGCAGGAGGCAGCCAATCAATGATTCTCTTTCATCATTGATGTTTCTATCTCTCCCTCTCCCTTCCTCTCTGAAATCAATAAAAATACATATTAAATAAATAAATAATACTTTAGTGCCTTAATTGATGAGGCACCCCAAAGAAAGACTGGACTTGATCCAACATGAAAAGTTTCCTTAAGAAGCCAGTCATGCCCTAACTGGTTTGGCTCAGTGGATAGAGCGTCGGCCTGCAGACTCAAGGGTCCCAGGTTCGATTCCAGTCAAGGGCATGTACCTTGGTTGGGGGCACATCCCCAGTAGGGAGTGTGCAGGAGGCGGCTGATGGATGTTTCTCTCTCATCGATGTTTCTGGCTCTCTATCCCTCTCCCTTCCTCTCTGTAAAAAAATCAATAAAATATTTAAAAAAAAAAAAAAGAAGCCAGTCATGATTGTGATGTTCCATTTATACTACAGAGTGGAGCCACTGAGGAAGGGAGTTTTATGATGGGGGCACACAGGGCAGGGCAGGTCCAGAATCTCAGTAACCCTAACTTGTACCCCGAGGACTTTCCTAGGAACTATGACATAAATGATAGAAAGGATGTAGTGTTTTGGATCAAACAATTCTGGTTTGAGTTCCACCTCTACCATTTTCTGCCTTATTACTTAATCTTAACTGAACCTGTTTTTCTCATCCAAAATAATCCTATATAATAAAAGGCTAACATGCAAATTGACTGAACAGCAGAACAACCCGTCGCTATGACGCGCACTGACCACCAGGGTGCAGATGCTCAACACAGGAGCTGCCCCATGGTGGTCAGTGCATTCCCACAGGGGTTGTGCCACTCAGTGGAAGCCCTGAGCCAGGCTCACAGCTGGTGAGCACAGCAGCAGTGGCGGGAGCCTCTTCCACCTCTGCGGCAGCACTAAGGATATCCGACTGCTGTCAGGGAGAGCGGGCTTAAGCTGTCAGTCAGACACCCCCTGAGGTCTCCTGGATCACAAGAGGGCACAGGCTGGGCTGAGGGATCCAACCCCTCCCCCACACACACACACACACAAATTTAATGCACCAGGCCTCTAGTCCTATATAACAAAAGCGTAGTATGCAGATTGTCCCTTGTCAGGGAGTTCAACCAGGGGGCAGGGCCTGCCAGGGGAAGGGAGGGAGGCCCCAACTAGTGGTGGTGGTGGCAGGTGGCCGGGGGAAGGGAGGGAGTACCTGACTGACAGCTGGCAGCCACTAGAGACCCTACCAGTGCACAAATTTTGTGCACTGAGCCTCTAGTGGAATAATAATAAAGCTCACGTTTTTGTTGTGCTAATTATGAAACAATATGTGAAATGTGCTTTGCATCAAGTGGTTTTCAAACTATTGATCACAAAGCACACACACTGGTTTTTGTTTTGTTTTTTACCTTAGCCAGTATATACACATATAAATATATACACTTGAAACAAAGGGTTCACTAAAACAATATGTCACTAGATATTTTCCATTCTATTCTAGTCGTGTTTTTAAATGCTGGTTCAATTGACCATATAGTTTTCACAACTCCTAACGGGCAACTTCTTTAAAAACACTGCTGGAAACTATAAAATTGGCAGTTATTACGATTATTATGATTCTCAGGGATGATCTGATGACTGGGCCTCTTCAACTGTCAGGGCGACAAAGGAAGAGGTCAAGGTTATTAGGTCAAGCACTAGAGAGCCCTGTTGCCAAGGGAATGGATCAGCCCGGTTAGGATTGGTCTGCCCTTGCGATCCAGCCCTCAGGTGAAAACGAGTGGCCCACGCCACTGTCACTCACATAAGTAGTTGGTCACGCCCCAAGCCCAGCGGGCTCGGAAGACCCGCCTCCTCTCTAAGGTTAAGCGAGGAAAGCTGGGATTGGAGGTTCAGGTGGTGACGTAACTTTCCGCTTTGAGTGGCCTTCCGCTCTGGCGGCGGCCGGGAGAGGCTCGGGGAACATTTAGCGGGGTCCCCCGACCCCTTAGCCCTCGGAAGTGCGATGAGGTCCGTTAGCTACGTGCAGCGCGTGGCCCTGGAGTTCAGCGGAAGCCTCTTTCCGCACGCAATCTGCCTCGGAGACGTCGATAACGACACGGTCAGTGCATGCGCACTGCAGGAGACGCCCGGGCCTGCGCAGGGCCGGGCCGGGGCGGGGCGGGGCCAGGGAAGTGGAGGCGAGCGGCGCCTGCGCGAGGGGGCTGGCGTGGCGGGCCTGGCGAGCTTTCGAGAGCGTGAATGCCGTGGCGGCCTGACCGAATTGTTTCCGTCCCCTGGCCTGCTACTCTTTTAGGAACATAGATGACTTTCTAATTTAGTAACTTATTTACCGTAAGAGCCTATTAAACCTCGGTGGCCACAGCTCCTGTCCTTAAGCTTCCTCGAGGGGAATCACTTCTAAAACCGTTTTACCTTTCAGAGCCTCAAACTAGGCTGGCGTGGCGCCCGGGTTGAGCCTCGACCTATGACTCACCAGGTCACAGTTGGATTACCGGTCAGGCACCGGCGGGGGTTGCGGGCTCCATTCCCAGGGTGGGGCGTGCAGGAGGCAGCCCATCAATGATTCTCATCATGGATGTTTCTATTTCCCTCCCCCTTCCTCTCTGAAATCAATAAAAGTACATTTTAAAGAAAATACTGTTTTTTAAAAAGCCTCAAACTGGGTTTTTAAAGCGCCTCTGCTGCTCTCACACTTGGCTCCTTGAGGCGCTGGAATAAGTACACTGTATCCGCCTCGCCTCCGCTGGAGCGGCAGAGGCATCCCTCCCAACCCCCCTATCTTAACGTCTCCCTATGGGACCTGCGCCTTCCTGCACGCAGGTGTCTGGAAACTTTAAAGGCCTTGATTGAGTTACAAAAATAATTTCCATCTGCCATTTCTTCCCTCGCGTCGTTCCTTTTCCCGTTTAAATGAATTAATACAGGTAAAGCAGGTAGCATCATGCCTGGCCCACAGTTAAACCTAAGTGTTAGCGCCATTATTGTTCATTTTTAATTATATTTTTCTGCAAATATTTATTGAACTGCCCACTAGGCGCCAAGGATTGCTACATTCTGGGAATTAAAAAATGAACAAGACAGCCTTCAGGTAGCTCATAATCAGGTGGGGTGATAGTCATAGACCAGTGGTTCTCAACCTTCCTAATGCCACGACCCTTTAATACAGTTCCTCATGTTGTGGTGACTCCCAACCATAAAATTATTTTCGTTGCTATTCAGAACTGTAATTTTGCTAGTTATGAATCGTAATGTAAATATCTGATATGCAGGATGTATTTTTATTGTTACAAATTGAACATAATTAAAGCATAGTGATTAATCACAAAAACAATATGTGTTTTCCGATGGTCTTAGGCTACCCCTGTTTTGAAAGGGTCGTTCCACGCCCAAAGGGGTCGTGACCCACAGGTTGAGGACCGCTGTTAGAATAACAAAATGTAATGAGATGCCTTGATTAAAATACGTAAAAGTTCTAAGCTTCAAAGAGGATGGGGTCTATTGGTGGTATGAAACACTTTTTTGTGTGCAGATTTTATCTTTTCATTTATCTCTGAAAGGTTAATATGGTGGTACATGGGCAGGCTAAATAGCCATCTTAGATGGTGATTAAAGAAAATGGAATTTATTTAAGGAAAGGGGATGGGGGATGGGGTATCCCAAGGGAAGGGCTGCACAGCAGGAGCCAAGGGGTCATTGGGTCTGTGATGGCAATACTCTGGCTGGAGTTTCACCCTTACATGCAGTCACTGGTGGGACACTTGTCAGTGGGTCTGGGGGCTGAGCTGGTGGGCTTAGAATGCAGGTGTGCGATCGGATGCCTTCATGCCTTAGGACAGTTTCATTCCTTGTATGATCTGACTCCTGGTGTCCTGCAAGTTTTCCTGGTCTTTTGTTCTCCTGTGGGGGGAAGCTTACAAATGGCCATTAAGGATTGTATTGCCCTCCCTAACAATCTGTATTTAATATTTTTAATACAAAGCACCTTATTGCCGTTTTCTCCTACACTCTGTCCCATCTCCCTACTCTGCCTCCCTGCTGTTCTGTACTGTCTTTTGCCTGAAAGAAACAAACAAAACCAAAAAAAGCTAGGGCTAAAACATCCTTCTCTCTTTCCAGATTCCTTTGTGCTGTTATGGAGAGGTATTTTATGAGGCTTCTTTTGGCTCTACCTCCTCTAGGAAGGAAAAAGTTATTCTCATAAATTTGTATTATGTTTTCTGGGCGTTCACATTTTTTTCATATGCCAAGCAGTACAATTTTTTTGAGAAAACTAAGGGAGGCATTTTTAAGTAGTAAATTAACAAAATGACTTTAGATGTGCATTATTTTTTTTTATTTGAGTGTCTTTCTTGTTTACAAGGGAAAATACATGGTTTTTAAAATAGCTTCATAGCACTAGCTCTTTTGGAAATTGTGCTTTTCTAAGTGAATTGACTACTACACACTCAGTTCTGCTGTGTTGGATATATTATACTTTTTTCCCCCCTGAGTTGTAAGAACCATTAGAGTAGGAGTTTTTTGTCTGTTTTTTAACTGTTTTATTCCCAAAACTTAGAGTAGTGCCTGGCACATAATAGGGACTCAGTAAATGTTTGTTGAATAAATGAGGATTGTCATGAAAAGCATTTGGAGATTTGGGGCAGGAAAAAGACATTTTATTCTAATACTAGAGGCCTGGTGCACAAATTCGTGCATAAATGGGGTCCCTCGGCCTAGTCAGCAATCAGGGCCAATTGGGGCCATCTCGCCCAGTACCCATCGTGTAGATCAGAGCAGCTGGCCTGGGGGAGGGTCTGTGGGAGCACATTGACCACCAGGGGGAAGCTCCTGTATTGAGTACCTGCCCCCTGGTGATCAGTGTGCATCATAGCTACCAGCTGGTTGTCTGGTCGTAATGGTCACTTAGGTTTTTATGTATATAGAAACCATTAGCCAAAAGTGATGGCCACAGTGTGTGATTAAGTTCTAGTTCTTTGAAACTAATTCATTTTCTGCTAAGTTGGAGGGAGAAACCATGAATAGAATACACTCCCTCTAGAACTACCCACCCAACACCATGGGAGAGAGAGTCTCTACTTTCTCGAAGGATCTTAATTCTGTACTCCTTTAGCATCTCTGACTGTTGGTGTACTATCCAGCTGGGGTTCTTTAGTGTCACTTAGTGGCCTCCAGAGCCAGAATCAACCAGAGAAGCAGAACTGCTGGGAAGCATTATACAGTAGTCACCTCTTATCCGCATTTTCAGTTACCTGCAATCAATAGAAGTCTAAAAATATTAAATGGAAAATTCTGGAAATAAATAATTTATAGGTATTAAATTGCGTGCTGTTCTGAATATCAGGATGGAATCTTGCTCAGTTCCACTATATCCCGCCTGGGATATGAATCATCCCTTTGTCCAGTGTATTCTTACCATAGACATTACCCACTGTTAGTCACTTAACTGGGTTATCAGATCAAGACCAGCCGTCACAGTAGTGCAGTACTTGTGTTTAAGTAATCCTTATCTTCACTAATAAAAGCCTAACTGGTCATCACGCCGAGTGCCCTCATGCCGTCACAAGATGGCTGTGCGCACAGCAGGCATGCACCGGTGGGCAGGGCTGGGCTTGACGCTGCATGCGCAGCACAGAGCCTGCCTGGGAGTCCCGCCTCCTCCCGGCTCCGTGCACCCCAAAGCATAAGAGTAGTGATGCTAACACTTTGGATATGCCAAGTAGGAGTGGTAAACTGCTTCCTTTAAGTGAAAAAGTGAATGTTCTTGACTTAATAAGAAAAGTAATCCTATGCTGAGGTTGCTAAGATCTGTTATCAGAACAAATCTTCTATCTGTGAAATAATGAAGAAAGAAAAAGAAATCTATGCTTGTTTTGCTGTCATACATGAAACTGTAAAAGTGATGGCCACAGTGCCTGGAAAGTGGAAAGGTGGAAGAAAATACGTTCCAGTTGATGGTAACATGTTACCCCAGAAAGCATTGAGCCCATACAAAGACTTCAACAAGGGACCCCCTGAAATGAGTGAGCATGTTTGCATAACTTTTATCATAGTATCCATAATAATAAAAGCATAATAGGCTAATTAGACTGGACAGTTGAACAACCTTCCGGACGTCCTTCTGGATGACCTTCCATACGAAGCCAGGGCTGCAAGGGCCAAACCCCTTGCACAAATTTCATGCATCGGGCCTCTAGTATTGTTCTAATCGTTCTATTTTGTTAGTAGTTGTTATTAATCTACTATTATAAATTAAACTATCATAGTATGTATTTATAGGAAAAACATAGTGTGTATGAGGGTTCAGTACAGTGTGCAGTTTAGGCATTCACTGTGGTCTTGGAACATATCCCCATGGATAATGGGGAATTAGTGTAGCTGCTAGAGAGCAGATAGGGCTGCCCTGGGAATGTCCTCTTCCAGTGTCATTGTCTTACTCTGCCTGGCTCACTGCACCTACCACACTGTTTTATGATTTTATTCCTGTGTCTGTGCTCTTGTTAAACTCTGAGGTCCTTCTCAGCAGGGAATTTATGGCATTTATCTTCGTACCCTTAACTGGTTGTTCAGCTTTACCCAAAAACTCAAGGGCTGACTAACTCAAGAGCATTCTCTTTCATTCTGATTCTTTTTGTTTCTTTCTCTTTTTAAAAAATATATTTTTATTGACTTCAGAGAGGAAGGGAGGGGGAGAGAGAGCTAGAAACATCAATGATGAGAGAGAATCATTGATCAACTGCCTCTGCCCCATACTGGGGATCAAGACTGCAACCCAGGCACATGCCCTGACCAGAATTGAACCAAGACCTTCTGGTTCATAGGTTGATGCTCAACCACTGACCCACACCAGCAGGGCTGATGTTTTTTGTTCGCTTGTTTCTTTAAAAATTCTTTGTTTAGTATTTGTCTATTAAGCAAACATTTTATCAAGACCTAGTATAAATTCATTTGTTCAATGAATGTATAATGAAAGAATGGATTACATGAAAAGTGTTAAGATCCTTAGCTTTGGAGATATTTAACTAGAGGCTGAAAACCACTTGGTATTAGTGCTCACTGTATGCCAATCATTTCTAAATGCTTTCCTCTGTTAACTCAGTTCTCACAACAATCTAAGGTTCAGATCAACTAAATCATATTGATAAATTCCAATTCATTGCTAACTTTTCCTTACTGTCTTTCTGTTATGTCTTTGTTGCATTTAGAATTAAATCTTCTTGTGGAATTGTGCACCTGAGACCTGTATAATTTTGTTAACCAATAAATTCAAAAAAGAAAAAAAAAGAATTAAATCTCCTGAGACTCTAATATTAATTTTATTTTGAGGACAGGGAGTGTTGGATCCCCACAAGGGAAATCATGAAGCTGTTAGTGGAAATAGGATTTGGAGCTACCTTATTATTTATTATTGTTAGTCTCTAGAAAGGGTGGCCAGCTTTTGGGGAACCCCTAGGAAGGGGAGTACCCAAAAACAAATAGTGAAGAGGCTCCATGCAGGGAGCCTGCCCTCTTGAGAGCTTAGTTGCCACTCGAGGGCACCAGAGGCCCAGAGCATGGATGCTGATAACCAGCAGCCCCTTCATGCTACCCACAACCTCCATCCTATATTCACTCATACACACCAAGATCAAAGGTCTTTCTAAAGGAGAAGGGCCACAGAGCTGACATTTTCTTTTTACCTGGCCTCTAATTGAATATGAGGTTTGAAGTTAAATTCTCTAAAAGTTGAATATTTGGAATTGTTTTTAAAATACAGGGTGGGGCAAAAGTAGGTTTACAGTTGTAAGTACGAGAAGCAGTTTATTATTTTATCCTACATAATAAAAAGCTAATATGCAAATTGTCCCCTCAATGGGGAGTTTGGACCAGGGGGCGGGGCCAGCCAGCCAACCGCCCACGGCCTCTTGCCCCCTGCTGGCCCGGCCCTATCAGGTCCTATCAGTACCAGGTATGTGCCCTTGACTGGAATCAAACCCAGGACCCTGGGTTGGCCAATGCTCTATCCACTGAGCAAAACTGGCTAGGGCAACAGTTTAATTATTGTATTATTTTCCATATAGACAACTGTAAAACTATTTTGCCCGATTCTATATGTCCTATTTGTAATGGACAAGTATGTAAGGCATTAAGTTGTCCAGATGTCAAACTTTTCTTGCCCTTGACTGGAATCAAACCCAGGACCCTGGGTTGGCCAATGCTCTATCCACTGAGCAAAACTGGCTAGGGCAACAGTTTAATTATTGTATTATTTTCCATATAGACAACTGTAAAACTATTTTGCCCGATTCTATATGTCCTATTTGTAATGGACAAGTATGTAAGGCATTAAGTTGTCCAGATGTCAAACTTTTCTGGGATGGATTCTGTATGGCACTATTCCTCTAATCTCCCCTGCCCATAACGCACACACACATACCATCCTTCCCCCCTACAGAAATAAAGAAACTGGGAAACTATGGCTATCTTGATCAGAAAAGATTTTCTGTAAAGTTGATGAAGATTCGAGTTGATGTCCTGTGATTTTCCCGGAATGGACCCAGTAAAGTTTGAAGTGGGTCAGCAGGACCCCATGCTAACACTCTTCTCTCTCCATTTGAAGTTAAATGAACTGGTGGTGGGAGACACCAGTGGGAAGCTGTCTGTATACAAGAATGATGACAGCCGGCCATGGCTCACCTGTTCTTGCCAGGGAATGGTAAGTATTCAAATACCAAGGTCTATAGGTCTGGGAAGGGATTTCGTCTGTCCAGGAACTGTCAAGGCTGAGACCCACACAGGGGCTAACCAGTGTGTCCTAAACTCACCAGCTGCTCAGCCTAGGTTGTCTAATCTTAAAAATTATAGTAGAAAATGAGGGCAGTATTTGAATACGCCCAGAAACATGATAGTCTGACTATATTAGAGTTTTTGTTTTGTAAAGAATTTGTTTTGAGCCCAAATTGTCTTTACTTCAGGTCTTTGTATTGCCGTCTGGTAAACCAAATAAACCTAGAGCACAATAACTTGATTAACACAGAGTATCAGAGTAGGTCATTGGCAACAGGTTTTCAGCAACTGATGGCAATTAGAAAACCTACTCCTTCCTGCTTCATAGAGATTAGGGAGTACTGGTCTCCCTCTGTGTCTCCCTGAGCCTCCCTTTCTTCTTTTGCAGCTGACTTGCGTTGGGGTTGGAGATGTATGCAATAAAGGAAAGGTAAGAACTCTTCGGGACCTTGGAACTTCAATGTAACTCCAAGGCCTTACTTAGATTGATTGCTGTCTCAAGGTGGACATCAGCTGAGGGTAATGGCTTCTGTGTTCTAATGATCAGCTTGTGCTCAGACTCCCTCCCCACTCGATCTCTCCTATACCTCTGTCTCTCCCAGAATCTTGTGGTGGCAGTGAGTGCTGAGGGCTGGTTTCACTTGTGTGACCTGACACCTGCCAGGACTCTGGATGCTTCTGGGCACCATGAGACCCTAATGGGAGAGGAGCAGCGTCCAGTGTTTAAGCAGCACATCCCTGCCAACACCAAGGTCATGCTGATCAGCGACATCGGTGGGCATGGCTGTCTTTGCAGGCAGCTGGGGGAATAGGAGTCAGTGGGCAATAGAGCAGATCTCAAGGGATTCGGGGGAAGGAGGAATAAACCATGGAAAGGAGCAAGAGAGTGTTGAAGTAGAGGTAGCGATTCTAAATGGAGTTGTCAGGGACGTACTTGCTGAGAAGATGAAATTTGATCGAAAACTTAAAGATGGCAAGGGAGTGAGCTATATAGATACTGGGTTGATATTTGGCCAGGAACTGTCTCGGAGGTGGTGGTAGGTATATGCGATGAATCAGGACACCTCGAGTTGTGTATCCAAGGGAAGCAGTGACAGAACCTGTGAGCAGATGGGTGGGTAGGGCGCAGGAAGGGGTAGGTGCTGTCAGGACAGGAAGGGCAGAGGAGCCTGCACCAGACTCAGAGTGTATGGGGCGGCTCCACAACAGATTGGGCTTGAAGTCGTACCAGATAAAATATCAGCAGTGATGTTAGCAGACGAGTAGGGATGAGATGCTTGTAGGATTCAAGCTGACGAATGCAGCTTTGGCTCCAAACTCGGCTTATTTTCTGGATCGACACAGATGGAGACGGGTGTTGCGAGCTGGTGGTAGGTTACACAGACCGTGTGGTACGGGCTTTCCGCTGGGAAGATCTGAGCGAGGGCACTGAACATCTGACAGGGCAGCTGGTGTCGCTCAAGAAATGGACACTGGAAGGCCAGGTGAGAGGCTGAGTATGGGGACCACGGAGCCCAGAGAGCAGGGAGGAAGGCCTCCTGAAGGGGATTATGGGATAACAGTCATGGGCCATCATGCAGGGTGAGATCTAAAGATCATTTCAAATCAGGGTGTTAGGGAAAATTGCTAGTAATGACTAATAGGAAGGAACCCAGTGCTAAGAATTGGGAATGTGAAGGTGGGTGTGGTGGGGCCTGTATCAGGACTGGGCACCACTTGAGGAATGCACAGAGGAAAGTAGGTGGTGTATGTGGGGAGCGTGGTACCAGGCAGGAGCCCTATGAACACTAGAATTCCTCCCACTGCTACCTTGGAGCCTGGGGGACTGTTAGCAGGGGCCCTGCCCCACTTCTCTCCCCTGTTCTTTGCAGGGTCCCACTTCCTCTCTCCCCAGTCCCCTTTAAGCCTCTGTTCCCTGGTGCAGGTGGACAGTCTCTCAGTGACTCTGGGGCCCCTTGGTGTTCCTGAACTGATGGTGTCACAGCCAGGCTGTGCTTATGCAGTGTTACTATGCACCTGGAACAAGGACGCTAGGCACTCCACTACCTCTGAGGGGACCACGGAGGGCATGAGGTAAGGGGTGCAGGCCTGTGGATGGTGTGGGGTACATGGAAGCAAGATTGGGTCCCAGATGTCCACGGCAGTGGATGGGAGGTCTACAGTTGGCAGAGCTTCTTGAGCTAGGAACGGCACAAGCACCTCTCTCCTAATAAGGGCAGACCTATATTTTGGGACCCAGGGAATCCCTGGCTCTAACCTTGTAGCGACTGGAAGAGGTTCCAAGGTGGTAGCCTGATAGCTCCATCCCTGTTTCCTACTTGCCACACGGGCCAGACGGGGTCAGCAATAGGTTTCCCAGCTGATTCACAGCTTGGTAGTTCTTATGGAGACGGGGCCACAAAGGTGCCGGAGCACTAAGCTCACTTGGTCTCCCACTTAGTCCCCCAGTCTCCTGTCCACAGGGAGACCCCGGCTGCCCGAGATGTTGTGCTGCACCAGACATCCGGCCGCATCCACAACAAGAATGTCTCTACTCACCTCATTGGCAACATCAAACGAGGCAGGTTGCTGAGGACAAACATTACTTTTGGGAGAGGAGATGCAGCTTTTTCTCTCATTTCTAGTCCTGTCCTTCTCTCCCTCCCTCCCTCCCTCCCTCCCGAGGAAATTGTGTTTATATGGGCTATAGGTATAGGGTGCAGGGTTAAGGATCTCAGTGAAGGCTAAGTCAAAGGCA